ATTTCCTAGATTAATATAGTTTCATGTACACTACATGGTAAAACTATATAGACAAATTTCAGCCACGTGTTACTGAAACATGAAACCTTGAAACTATGGGCATTAACCTGCTGCTATAACCTTCTGAATTTTGTGCACATACAGTATTATGTTGAAACAGGAAGACCTATTGACACAACGTTGGAAGCTCGCTGTAGTTTGAAAGATCACTGCTTGCTGTTGTATTAAGATTTCCCTTTATTGAAACTAGGTGGGCTAGACCAAACCAGGATCAAAAATACTGAAACGTATGTGGACAGGGCTGTCCTTGTGGCCATATAGCACTCAGCTGATGGCAAATCTGCACATAAACAGAAAATAACGCATCACCATTTTATATTTAATTTAATACAAGCTTAAAAAATACCTCTATGAAAGGCGGGTGTTTATATAGCCCATTCATATACACAAAGGCAATTCAAATGTTTTACATACTGTATACATACAAGAGCAGATCAGAATCGGCTTTATTGTCCAGGTGTGTTGGACACACGAGGAATTTGGTTTGGGTATAGTGGCTCTCAATGTGCATGTACATGTCCTTTTGTAAAGCAACAAATAGACAAGTAAACAATATAAGGCTGAAAGAACAAAAAGGAAAGAAAAAGAATGTGCAAACAAGAAAAAGGAATGTGCATTAGGAAAATAAATACATACGTAAATGCATATACACAAAGTTTAGATACATTGTCTATATCCTTATATCCTCCTTATAAAGTGTAAAATATAAAAAAAGAAATTTACTAAAGTACAAACAAGTTTAATAACGGTACAGACACATTTTTTCAATAAATGGTGAGCTAAACAGGACGTATTGAGCAGTTTGGTTTTATGATGATGTTTTGGTTTTCAGCCTTCATCAGAGTTTGAGAGGACTCAAGCTGTTTACACTGAGTACACCCAATCGTGTCATGAAACAAATGAAACAAAGGTCCAGCATTAGAACCTCTTCAAATTCTGGGGTAGGTGGGAATAAGACCCTCTGAATTCTGGCCTCCGTGTCTGCAGGAGACTTGCTGCCTGCTGACGGGATCCTGATCCAAGGCAACGACCTGAAGATTGATGAGAGCTCTCTGACTGGAGAATCTGATCACGTCCGCAAGTCTCTGGAGAAAGACCCCATGCTGCTGTCTGGTGAGTGCCTGTTCACATGACATGGACCAACACTGATAATTCTGGTCTGAACTGATTCTGCTAATATTTATTACCCTTAAACAAAGACCTCTATGGATCCTGTTTGGTTTGAAGTTGAGAAGTTACCCTCTTATTTGTGCAGGCCATGTGATGTCCTTTAAGTAACTCTGTATAAAACCTGACCATATAATAAACCTGAGTTGTTGTTTTTTTTTTGATGCAGCTTGCAGGCCTAAAATCACTGTACAAGCTGGCAAAACAGAATTTACATTTAGAACATTTGATGTTCAGACTAAAATTAAGACTACAAACATAGATCTCATGATAGTAGCACAGAGTTTACAGGTTCAGCCTTAAATGTACTAAAGACCACCTTTATGAATGAAAGGATTATCCACATCACCAAGAGGTAACATTGTGTAGACTGAAAAACTGTGGCCCAAATATGGATCCTTGATGAAAACCACAAGATGAAAATGTCTGCAAACAATAACAGCACTGAAATACAACATAAAATTTTAATGTATGTCTTTTAAAGTATTTATTGGTACCACTGGTAAAAAGATTAGATGGGTAAAATAAATGATTTAATAATGGTTTAAAATGAAAAGAAATGATTGCAAAACACTGACAGTTGATGAAATTAAACCAGTTTCAGTCGTGACTTGTACCTTTTTGAATCTTTCCTCAGGAACCCATGTGATGGAGGGATCAGGCAGAATGGTGGTATCCGCCGTTGGCCTCAACTCTCAAACCGGCATCATCTTTACTCTGCTGGGCGCCAGTGAGAACGACGAGGAGAAGAAGGTCAAGAAAAGTAAGACATGAGACAAAGCCCTTGACACACATCTCAAACACAACTGGTATTGAAGTGTTGAAGGTCATATGAGGACAATAAACGTGTGAAGTGTTGAGAGGGAAGTTTGGTTAAAAAAGATGACGATCACCCTGTCAGTGTCTGAATATTTCCACTCTACTGTTTGAACAGTGCAGACTGGAAATATGTGCACCAGCTCTGCTGGTGTTGATTTGAAGTTTCTCCTGTCACACTAGCCGACTCTGTCAGCAGGTAGAGTTCATCCATTGTGGGCTCATAACAACAGAGCAGTTTGAAGGGTTTAACTGTAGCATTTTAACATGATTTAGCTTCTGTATGAGCACAAAAGCATGGTCACTGAATAAATGAGACCACAGATGAGTTACCTTGGTAGTGCTGATGTTATTTTACACTGTGATCTTATCTGTTGAGCAACTAAATAAAACTGATGTTAGATTAAACTGAGATATGTACAGCAGCTGCTAATGTTGGATAACTAGCTTATTACTTACAGTGTAGACTGAAAGAAATAGACCTGATCCTTTGTGCTTTTCTCATTATATTGAACTCTAACACTTGAGATAAACAGATCTTACATGATGCTTAAGGCTGGGCTCACACGAGAGGATTTTACAGTCTTAGCCCATTTTTAAAAATGTGAGAGACTGCAGGCATAATGACAGCTTTAACAGATTTCTTTCCACATTTTAATCTTAAGAGCACACTCTCTAGACAATTCGGTCAAGAGGCAGGACCACACACAAAGCTTTTACTGAACACCGATTCCGGGGGGGCCAGGGATTTCACAGAAACTCAAATGTGATTTCTGAACAAAACAAACATGGAGGTGGGCATTCGTCAACAAGCAGTAGCACTCGTGTGCTATGTTTTGCATAGAGAAACAAAAAAGGAGAAAACGTTGGGAATGAAGTCTTTGCTGAGATAACAAAACAACATGGCTTACACATTTTGCAGCATGAGCTGGAGGTCGAAGTAAAGAAACAAGGAGGCTACCGCAAGATAATTCTACAAGCGGTTGTGATGCTTCCCACCTAGCTGCCATTGGCTGTTGCGGATGTCTGGTCAGGATTCAATCGTTGTATCCCTAACTCTACAGGATTCCAAGTCATAATTATCAAACACGCTTGATACTTGAGAATCGCTTTCGAGGGCCCGCACGTTAGGGAATGCCCCGACGATTGTGGGGAAGAGCAAATTGGGCCCAAAAATGGGGCTAATTATCCTGTAGTGCGGAGCCAGCTTAATATAGTGTGGAATCATAGTATAGGATCTTTTTGGGGGTGGGGGGTTGGGGTGTTCACATTTTCAAGGGTCCGTTTTAAACATTATAAAAGTCAACTGGTGACAGTTTCAACCCATTCAGGAGAGTTAACATTAGTTAGCTAGATATGATCAGTTCTGGTAATGACTTCTGTAAATTGTAAATCTCTCTATTATTGTAAACTAAATCTGTGCTAGATAGGAAGCTTGACAACAGTGGTCATTGTTCCAATTTGTGCACATGAAGACGTTATTGTGAATGTTTCTCATTCCACACTTTGAAATGTGTTTCCACACAGACCTTAAAAAGGACAGCAAATCTGTTTAGTTGGTCACCTGATCAATCCCTGCATCATGGTCTCATTTATTCGTAGTAGTTTATGGCCACTACACTGAGGTATTGATGTGATAATGATGTAATGTTGGTTATTAATGCAAAACATACCTTCCCCCAATTACATAAAGTTGCATTTTGAAATGGAACCCTTCAAAAGTCCAGATGATCCTTGTATGATCCACAGGGCAGTTTGATGTAAACCAACAGGCTTCTGCAGTCGGTCTCTATTGCTTTTGATTTGCTTGTGATCATGCTAACCCCCTTTTACTCATGTCTTTTTCTTTAGTTTGTTTTTGTGTGATCATTTGTTTTACTGGCTAAAGTTTTAGTTTGTCAGGCATTCATTGTGAACTGGTTGAATGTACCAGCTCAGGGGATAGAGACGCTCAGGTTCACATTTCAGCATCTGATAAAAAAAAAAAAAAAAAAATCAAACAAACAAACCAGTAATGAATTCCTAATGAGGAGAACCACGAGGCAAGTTTTCAGATTCATCCAAAATTACACTGAAAATGAGCGGCAGAAGAGAGTCTGTAGCTTAGCATTTCATTAATGTGTCTATAGTTTGCTTGTGAGAGCCTTCATTGAAGCCTGTAGCATCCCCTAGACCATAATCGTAATGTTAATCTAACCTTAACCTAACACTCAAAAAGCGCTTTGAAGAAGTGAAGACTGGACAAAATGTCCTAACTTTATAAAAATGTTCTTTCATCACCCACCAAGTCTGAACCTTTAATTGGTCCTCACAAAGGTGGAAGTACAAGAACGCAGACACACACAAGTACTGTTGTGTGTCTCTTGTGCTGAGTAATGGCATACTTGCACCAGATTTTACTGTCACACATGGCTGCATCAACCCCATATCAACACATACTCACACACCCTCCACACACACGTTCATGCATTCATGCATTCATGTCGAGTCACACCCATCGATTATGTTACAGGCACAAGAGCCATCATTTAGTGCAAACACAGACACACACACACACACACACACACACACACGTAACAGTTCAGTCCCAGTCAACACCCACAAACCACTAGCTGAATAATAAAGAGCTTTGTTGTGTGTGTGATGACCTTGCTGGACCTTCTTTCACAATAAAAGCAGAGAGGTCCACAGTAGGGCAACAGGAAGCTAATGTCCCTGAGGAGATAAACACACTTGACCTTCCACACACTGTCACATATGAATACATGATCACAAGGCATCACAGACAGCTGAGAAAGATCAGTAACAGATATTTACATATATATACAGCCAAAAAAGTGAAAGAATGCCTAGTCTCTCCAACACTAACCCGACCTAGTCCACTCAGTACTTAGGCACAGCAACGGTTTGCACTAGATACTAATGTCAGAATGCTCACAGTGACAGTGCTAACATGCTAATGTTTAGCAGGAATAAGGTTTACCATGTTTTTTATCTTAGATTAGCATGTTAGCATGCTAGCGTTGGTTAATTCCTGCTAAACACAAAGTACAACAGAGGATATCGAAGTATATAACAGTGTGTATATTAAAAAGATGCCGTTATATGTGTAGGTATAGTTACAAGATGTAGAAATACAAAGGGCGAGGCTACAATACGAACATTGGAATTCAAGATTCTTTGTTTATTATCTAAAGACAGAGTAGACCAGTCCAATTAATAACATTGTATACACTGTTTATTATTTCAGTATTTAAGTTAGGATTTTGATTAACTTCTGTATCTGCGCTCAAACAGAAATCAGTATATCAGTAAGTACACCAAAACGTGTAATTCTTTAATGCATTATTCTTTAACATGTTATTGAAAAAGTTTGAATTGAACTCTACATTTTTGTTAAATTTACTGTTATAGAAATAAATTAATATGTTATGCTGTTTAGTAATTGGTTCTCCGCAGCAGGAAGGCATGTGTCTCTGTTCTCTGATTGGTCCATTCCTGCCCACAACACACAAACGACACACACACACACACACACACACACACACACACACACACACACACACATACACATACACACACACACACCTGTGGGTTTCTCTCAGTTTGAACTTTGTGTTCTCCCTCAGTTTGATTTGATCTTATTTTTCCTTTGAGCCATCTTATCAGCATTCCGCCCTCTCTCTCTGTCCGAACAGGTAAAAAACAAGGACCCCCCGAAAATCGCAACAAAGGTAACCCCTCCATTCATCCATTTGTCCCTCTCTGTCCCTCCATACTCCCTGTTACTCACCCCCTCCTCACCCTCCACCCAGCAGCAGGAGGGCAGTGTCCAACCCATCTCCCTCTCCTTCTCTCACTGCTGTAAAAAGGGGGACGTTCTCTCGCTTTGCTTTACCTGTCACAGGGTGCAACTCTCAACCTTCAGGTCTTTGACAGCCAATCACAGTGTCCGCAGTGTCGTTATGGTAACTGCCACAGGGCAACTATGGAGTTTCATTTTAGCTTAATAACGTGCATGACAGGACATTTTGAGCACAGAAAAATAGTTTTTGCAAGCACATAAATTATATTTTGTTGAGAACGTATCACTCAAAGAATTATTTAATTTTAGAGACTAAAAATATACAGCTGGGTGAGAAATGAAAGGAAAAACTATCACACAGTGAACAAACACAGACTTGTTCGTGCTGTGTCTCCAGAGCAGCTTCAGGTCTCCTCTGTTGGAGGGCGGAAAAATCATTCTTCCAAAACATCTTCCCTCATTATGTCCAACACACTTTGTCATCTTCATTAAGCCACTCAGTAACCTAGAACCGCAAACATTAGCCAGTCCACTGATGGAAAATTCACTCGCAACTATTTTGAAGCAACAATCACCAACATTTTCTGATTCCACCTTTTTTAATGTGAGGAACTGATGCTTTTCTTTGTCAGACATGAGAATAAACGGAATAATTTTGGACCTTTTGGTTGAACAAAACAAGACATTTTGAAATGTTAAGCTGGGCTTTGGGAAACTGCTTTATTGTCTGACATTTTATAGATGAAATATTTAATCAAGAAAGTAATGAAAATAGTTATAACTTGCAGCCTTAAGGTGGTTAATAGTAATTAGTGACTGAGATGGCTGCACTATATAAATATTATACTCAATTCAGGCAGAGGTGTTGAGAGCCAATGAGTAAAATTGTTGGAGGTCATCATTGTGCACTGAATAATAACAACACTACATTGACTAGTGTAAGTACGAAAATGTTTTTCTGCCGTAATTAAATTAGTAATTGATCATTTCTCTGCAAAATATAATTTATGTGCTTGCAAAGCTCCTTTTCTGTCCTAAAAATGTCCAGACATGAACGGAAGTCCACCAGTGATAGGTCACCCTAAGACACCTGTCTAACCTCTGAGGTGTTCTCGGAGTGTGACGCTGTGTCGACATCAAGGGCTCCTTCTGTGCCTTGAAATATTTAATGGATTTGATGAGGGTGTGTGTGTTGTCATCGCTCCAACCTTCACCCTTGACCAGCCAACTGTCCTCCATGTCCCGTGTGATTCAGCACATGTCCAACTTCCTCCACATGCTGTCTTAACGCACACAAACGCGCATTCATCACATTCATGCACACAACACAGAGCTCCCCTCCTCCCGACCTCCTGCAGTGTGAGCATCTGCTGCAGGCAGAATGCTTCATGATGTATACAGGAACACGCACATGCTGCTCTTGGATTCTCATCACACTTATGCACACAGAAATAATTCACAGGAAGAGCAACAGCTACTGACGACCTCCACTAAAAACACATGAACAACAAAATTTGCCGAAACACCTTCATCAAGCTTTAGAACCCAGAGAGAATTCTCTCCAACTCTGAGGCTCTGCATAGCTTTTTAGCCTCTTTTAGCTCCTAGTGTTGGTTTTAAAGCACATTAACTGGTTCAAACAAATGAAGAGAAATGAAGGAGCAGGGCTGCAGCTAAGGATTACTTTTTCTGGTCAAAAATTCAGCCATCAGATTTTTTTTAAAGCACCTGGTGGCATTTTAAACTAAATATATTCTGTTCACTCTCACTGAAGACAAAAGCAGCAGATCCTCACAAATATAAAGCTGGAATTAGGTAACATCCTCAGTGCCAATGTAGTAGGAAATTGAGCTTTCTGAGCTGCTACAAAACATCTGTGCAGGAAGTTTGATTGGTGGTAGCTTAACAACAGAAAAACAATGTAGTAGAAACACTGGAAATAATTAGTGGCTTAAAATGAACCTAGTGTTAAAATGATAATTTGTTTTCAGCAGAGTGGTGCATATGACAGAGCTGTGAAATTAGTGCTACGGAATGTGTACTTTATACTGAATTTATGAAGACAACAGGTAAACAATTAAGAAGTGGTTCTGTTCACAGCGAATTAAAACAGGAGCAGAGCAGAGCACAGGGAGGCCGCATACTGAAACAGATCCCATCAGTACGACAGCAGCCACGGTGCACTCATCGCTGTGCTGCTCTCATTTTATCCTTTTAACACTTTTCATTCAGTGATAAAGTCCAGTTGTTTCTGGTTTGCTTAAAGTTAACATCAGTGAAACTACACACATCTTGCAGACGTGTCACAGCAAATGCCTGCCAGGAAAAGGAGGATTTATCATTAGAATTTAAGCTGAGGCCTCACTGTATAGTATGTACGGAGGAATTAAAATGCTACATAATCAGTTTCCCAACACATGGTTGACTACAGTATATTCTGACGAATGGCGAGAGGAGCAAACTGATTTGAACAGCGCTGTGATTGTTTTTTGGCTCTTTGGAGGCTGCCGGTGTGTGTGGGAGTTGCACCCTTGCAGTATTAGTGGACTGTGGGCTGTCGTCTGTTTTGTTTGTGTACCTTCAGTTTGGTTTTTTTATGTTTCGCCTTTGACTCCTCATCTCTCCCACTGTTGCCTCCTTGCAGGGTGTTGCTCAGGACTTCATGTTGTCTTGTAATCACTGTTTGACTCTTTACCTCCTCTCTGTTATTTTTGTCTTGCCGAAGTCTCCTGCAGCCTCCTATTCCTCTTCCTCTCCCTCTCTCTGTTGTGGTTCTGCATTGCTGTTGTTTTTTTGTGTTTTTTGGGGTGATCCTTTGAGTTTGTCCTCTGTTTGTTGACTTGCTTTCCTTTTGATTGTCAGACACCCCCTCTCCTTCGCTCGCTGTGCGTTCTTCCATGGTTCAGTGAGTGCTGCGCCACTTTACAGTTCTGTGGTTGGTCAGTGAGTCTCAGTTCTGTTCATGTGAAGCTGTGTCAGTTAGTTCTATGTTGTGGCTTGTCTTCAGGCTGGACCATGTGCATAAAGCTCCCCAGCTCCTGGTTTGACACTGACTCGTCTCCACATTTCAGAATATCTAAATGTCAAGTTGAGGTCGCCCTGTCCTGAAATGACTTATTACTTGGCTAAATTCTGTGTGCAGAGCTGCTCAGTGTGAGCCTGATGAAGCTCAAAGGCACTGACATTGAAGAAGTGTAATGGGATTAAAGGCATTACTACACGTTAAAGATACACTCCCTGGTTTTGTGCTGTCATCTTTGAACTTCTGCAAAATATCAACAGTGAGCTAGGAAGAAATTTCTTTGGAATAGAATTGTCATCCTTACCGACTTTATCCAGCAGCCTTCATTATTTATTTCCTATGTAGATTTTTAAAAAGGGCAGAAGGAACAGGTTCTCCAACAGACATTTTGCACCACCACTTTTAAATTTTATTTGAATTTTATGAAAAACACCTGGTTACACTTTGGATCGCCTGGGCAGAGTGTGTCCACAGTGTCAGCTCAAGTTTCAGTGGACATCCAGGAATCTAAACCTGCATTATATCCATGACCTGTTGGTGTTATTGTTTCCAGCAGTGACACTGACCTGGTCAGCAGCAGTGACTCTACAGCAGGGTTTCATACAGGAAATTACAGTTACTGTAGCTGATGGATGATTCTGAAGAATTTGTGCCCCTCCATCAGAACATTTCCTGTATAACCAGACTAGAAACTGAAAGGATTTTAAACTGCAATCATCCCATCTTCAGTCAGTGTTGTCAGCCCAGTTGTTCACGAGGACAAACAGCACATCAAACCTCAGTGTTTCAGGTTAGTGTAGGTCTGTTGTGTTTCCATTCATCATCTGCTCACATTTCTTTGGTATGGACCTATGACAAAGAGCAGGGGTTGGAGGGAGTGCAGCTGAATTCAGTGTAAGATCTTCAGCGGAGATTAAAAAAAAGCTGCATGTACATTATGACAGTCCAAACAGGATTGCAGCTGATGAAGTGAAATGCAAACACACAGTTTGTTTATGCAAATGAAGAGCAGAGCTGCCGAGCAGGACGTGAAACCAGCTGCCACGTCAGGCTTCAGAACTCAGCCTCGTTCCAAACTCTATGCTCTGGTGTGAAACTGAGTGTGTGTGATTGACAGCCCCCTGTTAAATCCTCTCTGTTGTATCTGCTGTTCTCTGTTCTGTCTGCTGCTCTTCATTATGAACTGCTGCTCTCAGCTCGTCTGTGACTCGCTCTGAAAGCTACCTGGACCTTATTTTGAATGTTCTGTGATCATAAAACGATGAAATGCTCCTCTCTGCATTCAGAAAAAGGGTCACCATGTTAATGATAGAGTGTCAGAGGTGTTTTCTGATCTCTGAGAAAGCCTCTCTGCCTCTCTACCCTTCATCCCCAAACCACTCCTGAACCCTACTCCCTCCTTTTTGTTTTATTTTGTAATTTAATATTGTTTATCAATTTAATTCATTTACTTTTTGTCAACCTGTTCTGCTTTCTCTCATCTTCATTCCTAAAATACAACCCTCTGCCTTTTTCACAATCTGTTTCCTCCATCCCATCCATCCTCTCTTCTCCATCTTCACCTCTTCCTCATCATGACCCCTTTCCTGACCTTTCCTTAACCTCCTGCTCTACATCTCTATATCCTTTGCCCCGTCCTACCTTTGTCTACACTCATTTGCCCCTTAAACCTTCCTTCTCCTCCTCCACACCACCTTACCCCCCCTCCCTCCAGCCAAGACCCAGGATGGCATCGCCCTGGAGATCCAGCCACTGAAGAGCGAGGAGGCCGCCGAGTCAGAGGAGAAGGAGGAGAAAGAGGAGGCCAAACCAGTGAAGAAGGTCAATGTGACCAAGAAGGAGAAGTCAGTGCTGCAGGGCAAACTGACCAGACTTGCTGTGCAGATCGGGAAGGCTGGTGAGAGACATACACACACACACACACACACACACACATACAGTATAGTTCATGTCACATCTTTTAACAGCAGCATTTTATAAAACCCTCTTGCTTTACATTTGCCTTAGAGTCAGATGTTTCATATGTCCAGAGCATCTTTATCCCAGCTTGGAAACACAGGGAAACTGCTAGACCAGCTCCATCAAGAGAGAAAAAACACCTTCCAACAACTTAAAGTCAGGTCAAGTCAGTTTATTTATAGCGCACATTTTAAAAATGTATTTATCAAAATGATGTTCTTATTAAAATAAATTAGTAAATAAGCATAACAGACTAAATTAAAGCAATTAATAATAAGGGGCCCTCAAATCCAGCTGTGTCTTAAGACTGTATTTAAGGTCAGCTTATCTATACGAGACCAAAGGCGCCTTACATGCTAACCTCAGCTTGTGAACATGCACACAATGGCAGTGTTTACATGCTGATCTTTATCACTGAACACAAAGATGAGCTTAAGCTGACCGGAAAGTCATTAGTTTTGCAGTGGTCATAAACTAAAGCATTGGAATTGAATTTTTGACCTGACGACGGTGCCATGGTGTCAACAGATCACATCTGTTAAAACCGATCCTGATGGGATCTTGGATCTCTGAACTAAATTTTAACAAAAATAATTTAGTATATGTTGAGACCTTTCAGTCTGAATGGGCTGGCATTGATAAGGCTGGGGGCAGGTGGGGCTTTGTGGACCACGAGCAGGTATTGTTGGGCTCCGCATGTCTGTGCAGGAAAACCAGAGTCCAGCAATGATATGTGAGCCACTAGAAGCACATTTATGACCCTTTGAGAGAGTCAGAAGCTCATCTGACCTGCTTGCTATTGAGTGATTGTCTTTGTACACAGTATTTATCCCTGAAGATTGATTTGCCTTCTCTGTGCTCCTTGGCAGTGGATAAAGTTGTGCCAGAAATCTTTACGACACACAAGTGATGCAAACAGCTTCTGCTTAGTTCATCCTCTCTGTGGCGTGTTGAGCCAGTCTTTGTGCTAAGCTAGGTTGACACGTCCTGAATCGCTCTTTATTGGACACACAGAGATTAAACTGACAGCCTTCTGACTGTGGGGAAGACAGAGAACAAGAGGATTTCCAGAAATATGTGGCCATTGTTTTAAAAGCTCACAAAGAGCTCAGGCAGTCAGGGCTGAGGATCTGAATGCACTCACTTTTAATGGATGGATATTTTATTGAGAACATGATTCATCCCAGAATTTAGTGTTTTCTGTGTCATTTCAATCGACCTCAATACGCTGAGGGGCTTTCTGGGCAGAGCGGAGGAGGGCGTGGGCACCAGCCATGGACCAGCTTCAGAAATAAACTACCCCTCATTACTGCACAGAAATAGAATTTGGGCCAAATCACTCGATGTGACTGACAGGATGGAGCAGAAGAATACAGCTGTTTCACTGGCCCTAGTTTTTTCATGTCACGTGCAGACGCTTCCTGTTAGGCCGGTGTTTTTTTACCTTTGTTTTGCATTCAATCCTCACCACCTTGCTAAAATAGTGGCCACAGAGACACCTGTCCACAACTTTTTAAATAAACACAAAAAAACAAAACGAAATCACGTTTTCACTATGTTTATAATCTCGCATGTAATTATGTGTTGCATGCAAGGTAATATGTCACATTGGACGTTGCACCTGTGGTACTGGGATGCAGGTATCTCTGTAAAAACAACACAGGGCAGCGTTGTTCTTCCTTTTTTTGGGTCAATTTAAATAGGCAATAGAGCATGGATGACACTGCATATTTCTGTCTGAACCCGACCCAGACACGACAAGCTTACAGTATATAATGTCTGAACCCGACTCGAGCCTGAACTAGCTGAGTTTGTATGGTGTTTTCCCCCTTATCATTAAACGAAGCAGAGATTTGAGTGCTGCAGTCATCTAGCCTAAAGTTTGATCTAGGTATCTGAACTTGACCTGGACCTGAACATAATTTCAGAATTTCCGTGAGAAACCCTGACTGGCCCTATCGGGCTTGGATCGGATATCTGCACTCTAAGGCAAAGCTGCAAGAAAGAGGGGCCAATTTAACACCAGTGTAGTGGGATCCCTGTCTAAAAGCTATTGACTTGACTTGAAGAGAAAGTGTGCTTTAATTCTGCACAATCTGCTCATTTCAATCAGGTCTGATCATGTCGGCCGTGACCGTCATCATCCTCATCCTTTATTTTGTGATCGACACCTTCGGGATCCAGGGTCGGCCCTGGTTGGCCGAGTGCACCCCCATCTACATCCAGTACTTTGTCAAGTTCTTTATCATCGGTGTGACTGTGCTGGTGGTGGCTGTTCCTGAGGGGCTGCCACTCGCCGTCACCATCTCTCTGGCCTACTCTGTTAAGGTAATGGGATGGGACACAAAAGGGATTATGGGAAATGTAACATTCATGGATATGTGATTCCTCATACAATTATCATTTGACATTTGATAACTAAAACAGTGTCTAAATGCAAACCTTAGTGTCTAAATTCATCTTCTGTCTTTTAGAAAATGATGAAGGACAATAACCTGGTGCGTCACCTGGATGCCTGCGAGACCATGGGCAACGCCACGGCCATCTGCTCAGACAAGACTGGCACGCTGACCATGAACCGGATGACAGTGGTACAAGCATACATCGGTGACACACACTACAAGACTGTACCTGAACCGGACATCATCAAACCTGAGACTCTGGAAATGATGGTCAACAGCATCTCCATCAACTCTGCGTACACCACCAAGATCCTGGTGAGGCCCCCCACCACAACAGCTATATCTAACCATAATATTAAAAAACAGTAACGTAAACCTAACCTTAATGTTAGAACCCAATTGTAAACAGCTCTTTGAAGAAGTGAGCACTGGACAAAATGCTGATTTTTTAAAACTCTGATGTCACATTACAATCAAATCTTTTGTCCCTTCTCAGCCTCCAGAGAAAGAAGGTGGTCTGCCCCGCCATGTGGGCAACAAGACCGAGTGCGCTCTGCTGGGCCTAGTGCTGGAACTGAAGAGAGACTACCAGCCAATCAGAGACGAGATCCCCGAAGAGAAACTCTATAAGGTTTACACCTTCAACTCCTCCCGCAAGTCCATGAGCACGGTCCTGAAGAACGCTGATGGAGGCTTCTGCATGTATAGCAAAGGAGCGTCAGAGATCATCCTGAGGAAGTAAGAAAAGAGATCAAGTTTGATTTTTGATTTGATTTGATTTATTCTTTCAAACATGCAGAACAAATGACATCAACACACACATAATTACACAAATCCAACCAATGCTAATTTAGAATCAGTTTGCTTATACCTAGTACATGTTTGAATGGAGTAGGAAGAAGTCAGACTTATCCAGTCCTACCCCATGACATCATCTTATACAAAAAATTTAATGCATCATTGGCTGCAAGCAGTATCTCTACATAGGTAATTCTCTTCTTCACCAGACAAGTAATACACAGAAAATTTAAAACAGAGTGTTTCATTCATGCATTCTTGATTAAATCTCTTATTCTTGCATATATATCTTGAATGACACATACATTTATATTTGTATTTAAACTCATCAGTTCTAGTACTGTTTTTCATGTCCACACTTAAACCATTCCATAATTTGACCCCACTTATAGAAATACAAAATCTTTTTTTGGTTGTACGTATAGCATGAACTTTTAGCTTTAACTGACCCCTTAAATTATATCCCCCTTCCCTTTCATCAAATAACTTTTGAATTCCACCAGGCAATAAGTCGTTCCTGGCTTTATACATAAACACAGCAGTCTTATATCCCACTAAATCAAAGAATTTTAACAATTTAGACTGTATGAAAACTACCTTTGTGTGATCCCTATACCCCAACTTGTGCACAATTCTAATCGCTCTTTTTTGTAATATGTACAATGGTTGAAGTGAACTTTTGTAAGTGTTTCCCCAGTTTTCAACGCCATACTCCAGATGTTAGCACCCCCAATTTTCAATTGAAGTTCATTATGTGGTCTACGGTTCCCAAATACCATATATTTAGTTTTCTCCAAATTCAAAGATAGAAAATTACTGTCACACCATTTCTTTATCTTCACAAATTCCTCTAAAACCCTTCCCGAGAGTTGCTGTAGGTTTTCATCAGATGCCCAAATGGTAGTATCATCAGCAAACAAAACCACTTTGACAATTTCAGAAACCTTACATATATCGTTAATGTATAATATAAATAATTTAGGTCCCAAAACAGAGCCCTGAGGCACTCCACATACAATATCCAGCTCACTCGATTGGTATTCACCCAACTTCACAAATTGACGCCTCTGTGTCAAATAACTTCTGATCCATTTCCAAACCATTCCTCTGATCCCATATTTCTTTAACTTATCCATTAATAGTTCATGATTAATTGTATCAAATGCTTTTTTTTAGGTCAATAAATATCCCCATCGTATATTTTTTCTCATCCATAGCACTTGTAATGTCCTCCATCAGGTCAGTAATGGCCAAGGATGTCGACTGGTTCGACCTAAAACTGTAAATGATAGATGATTAGTTGAAGTAGCAGATATATTGTAATATTGTTTATTAATGTCTTCCTTTCAACCTCCCTCCACCACCTGTTTTCTCTTAGATGCTCTCGTATTCTGGACGCTCAGGGCCAGCCTCGCGTCTTCAAGCCAAAGGACCGTGAAGAGATGGTGCGTAAGGTCATTGAGCCGATGGCGTGCGACGGGTTGAGGACCATCTGTGTGGCTTACAAGGACTTTCCTGCCGAGGCCGGAGAGCCGGACTGGGACAGTGAGAACGATATCCTGAACGAACTCACCTGCATCGCAGTAGTTGGCATCGAGGACCCCGTCAGACCTGAGGTACACAGCAGGGTTGCACCTGATGCTCGGTTATGTTCATGCTTGGAATGTGAGGGTATTAATGATTGTTTGAGTGTTAATATACATCATATGCCATCATATTCATCATTTAGTAGTCAGACCTTTGCTTAATTTGAGCAAAATTGTGTGATCAGATATAGGAACCTTTTACTGATACAACCAGCATCAAAAGACACTCTCTCTCAGTACCACCTTAAGCATCACGGTGCCCCTGAAAGTGTTAAATGTATACATACAACTTACAGGACTTCAAATGAAGGATAAGGATAAATGAGAGCATGGAAAGAAATAGCACATTAACTGATTATCAGACTTTTGTCATTATTCAGAAACACTTTACTATTCGTCATCTGTCATTTCCTTTATTTAACCTGCATATGGATAATACTATTGTATATAAAATACATTTTAATACATAATTTCCATTCAGTCACATTAGACATGAAAAAGCCATGTTTGTCAACACAAACTTTATTTTGATGTGAGATATATTAGTATAGTTTACACTTTGCCTGAAACGTTTCTGAGAGATGCTACTGAACTGTCAACACCTGCACTGACGCTGATGCAGCTGTGTCGCCAACGTCACTCCAGGTGACTGTACAGAGAAAGGAGACAGGCTGTAGAAGGAACTAAGATGTGAAAAAAGACACAAATGAGAGAAACCAGGGATGAGACTGAGAACGAGTTTCTGCTTGCTCTGAACGTCCGCAGTGGAAGGTGAAGTGAAAAGCCTGTCCTCAGAGCCTCCTCCAGGCTGCATCCCACTGCTTCCCCCGCCTCCCTCCAACAGCTCTGTGTTTTCTGTGAATTCTATAAATGTGCACACATTCAGACAGTCTCACCTTGAGCACAGTCATGGTGTTCACATGTAAAGTGACCTAGGTGGCTGTGTTATTTTGAACTGCAGTAGGAACCTGCAGCTCATTGTGGCTGTTTTACCTGCTGTATTACATCAACTTCAGTCTGGTGACAGCGTTTGTAGTCAAAAATCAAAAACATGAATCTGAAAGGACTGTAGCTCAACTAATCTGACAAGCTGCTCATAATAAGATAACAGTGTTTGTGTTGTATAGAAAAATAAAAAAAATAATTGAATAAAAACATTCAGTAGTTTATGACAGTGTTGAGATAAATGAAACACGAGGACTGAAGTGAGTCCTATTCAGGTGTGTTGGATCCGGGTGCTCTGAAGTGTTAAATGATGCCTGTAATGAAGCTCAAGAGAGCATCAGTGCCGCTGCCTGCTGCTTTAATGTCAGAGCACAAAGATCACAGACAGGATGGAAATAACTGGGGAGCAGCAGGAGACAGTCAGCAGCTCAACATTTATCTCTGCACGACCTGTGATGGCCACAAGACTGTTCACAAAAATATTTTGTCTTTTACATGCAAAACGATTCTCCATTTTCTGAAACATAGAACATGCATGTTACTGTGACCTGGCAGCATGTAGTCTGCACTGGAGCTGTACAAATTTTATAACTTTTAAGGCACTAGTTCCACCATCAATGAGCTGAATAAACACTTTCAGTGAATGGTTACTCCCTGACTTAAAGGGCAAAACATGGGGACATCATCATGTCACTGTGACTATTCAGTAATGCAAGTCAGCAAATCATGACTGCTAAACTGTTTGGTCCTCTGTTCCAGTTTTCTGCATGGCACAGAGTTCACAGTAATAACGGTGAGATTTACAATCAAGGTTCATAGTCATTTTTAAACAATGGGCCTTTGTTTTCACAAGGCAATTACAGAAGCTAAGAAAAGCATCGTTTCACCTTTAGGCAGTGATCATCTGTTTTGCTAAAATGAAAACCATCACTAGAGGATTTTATTAGCTGTAGCTAATTGGCAATAAAACATTAGGTCTGTAATAGTGGAAACATTTTTATGAGAACCATGCAAACAGTTCTTTATATGCACTTTGTAGCTTTGTGAGTGATACTATGCCAAAACTACTTTATTCCAGTTTCCTCAGCAGTTAATGATTAATGTGAAAGACAATGAAGAAACAGTTTTGATGTTGTATTTCAGTGTAGCGCTGTAGTATAGTGTAAAATAAAATGTTACTTTGTGCTGATTTTCTGATAAACATAATGATATGTAAGCTACTTACCTGGACATGCTAACAGCAGCGTTTTACATTAGGGCAGCCAAACTCTCTAGGTGAATCCCAATTCCCCTAATTGCATCCATCTTTTCCTCCTTTGCATCTTTTCCTTGCGTTTTAGTCCTGCCCACGTAAGATGTGAGATAAGGATGCAAACTATGAGGGGAGAGGAATGAGGAAGCACATTTTAGCTGACATGAGACGTCCTTTCCTCTGATCCTTCAGGTGAAACCATCAGTCACAAACGGATTTTAGATAAAGGGGTGTGTCAGTCCGTAGCAGACTTCGGTGAAGGATGTACTTGTATGTCCTCGGTTATAGCTCCTCCAGGAAGCCTCCTCGCTCCTCAGAGCAGGAATAAGAGCTTTGCAGCACCTTGTTATGGTTGCAGAGCTGTGACTGGACAATCACTGACATTCATCAAAGGGTGCTGCAAACCCCTCTGACTGAGCTCAAGTCTGTTCCCAGATTCCTTAACTGTTTTATTTTCTGGAAAGTTTTTATCATAATAACAATCCCTCCACTCAGGTTAAGGCTGCACTCTGCATGAATTAGAGAGATAATATGCGTATGCAGAACCCCTGTTGGTCTCTTATCAGATCGAGCCAGTTGACCCTCTTGATGAGCAGAGGAAGTTGCCGTCAGCTTTCTGATTGTCACCTGGCCAATGTGTCAGCACGGACTCCTCGCAGACATTTGTCTTTGCTTCTGTTTACTCTCTCGATCATCTTTGACAGACTGAGATGAATGAGGTCTCAGTAAGGATGCGATAAAGAACGACAAAATTGATTTCTCAGCAGCTGGTGCTGCAGGAGCTGTCTCGACAGTCAACATCTTCTGTGTCCGACATGTTGGTGTCCATATATCTGCCTCTGGATTTGTTTTATTCAGCATCCCAACCAGAAACTCAGTGGATAGAGAAGAGAAGCTGCCCTTCTGGACTTGAATACATCTGTCTTTGTCTTTCAGGCTCTGAATTGTGAAAACTTAGACATTTCTTTTTTCTGACTCTATTCCAGGTACCTGAGGCTATTTCTAAATGCCAGCGTGCAGGCATCACTGTGCGGATGGTTACTGGAGACAACATCAACACCGCCCGTGCCATCGCAACAAAGTGTGGCATCCTGCTGCCCGGGGAGGACTTCCTGTGCCTGGAGGGAAAAGAATTCAACCAGCAGATCAGAAATGACAAGGGAGAGGTGAGACTAGGAGCAATGCAGATGCACAGCAGCCCAGCCTTGATGTAATATTGGCTTATAAAGGGGAGCACTTCACCGACTCACTGCAATATTTTTGAACATTTCAAATATTTTTGGTTTGTATCGTTAAGCTCTTCCATGGCTGGCTGTTTGAACGCCTGCTCACTGTTTGAAAAACGCTTCTTATAACCTTTCCTAGGTAGTGGGTGGTGCAGACCGTAATGTACAGACCGTACTTTGACAACTCGGGGTAGAGAAGCTGGAATAACAACAGAAGGCCTGTAGGCAGCAGAGTGTCATGGAAGTGGGAGTGTAGCTGAGAGGCACCACATCCTGTCCCATTGTCACTGGGTTTATCAGACTGTGTCAAAAATCTTAGTTAATGCATCTTTATATGTAAATACAGCCTACGTATAGGCTGTATTTGGTACAAAATGTGTTTTTCTATTTTTCATGTTTTACATTTTTTTAGGTGGAGCAAGAGCGTCTGGACAAAGTTTGGCCCAAGCTGCGTGTTCTGGCTCGCTCCTCACCGACAGACAAACACACTCTGGTCAAAGGTGGGTTCATTCTAACAGAGATTCACTGTTAAACTGTGTAGTGAGTATTATAAAATGTTTTACTGCTGCTTACATGCTTATTTGCTGCTGTGCATGAGGTGAGATAAGTGCCATGTTAAGCCATATCTCATATTGGTTGATATTTGAACTACAGTAAATGGCCCTTACATGTTTGGGCTCTTAAAGCTTTGACAGAAGCCGAGAATGTATTTATTTTTCATTTGATTTCTAAAATAATAATACACGATTTGAAATGGAGAATTGTTGTTTTATTTCCCCTCTGTTGATCAGGCATCATCGACAGCACGGTGGGAGAAACCCGACAGGTGGTGGCAGTGACGGGAGATGGCACCAACGACGGCCCCGCCCTCAAGAAAGCTGATGTTGGCTTTGCCATGGTAACCACGTCTTTGTGTCTTCATTTTTTTCTGTCATCTTTACCCCCACAGCTCCTCGTTGCTTCACTCATTTACTGAGCTAATTACTTTTTTGATGCAGATGTGAAATAGGTGTTTCTTTAAATGTCCACCACCATAACTCTTGAGTTTAATGCCATGGATTCTTTAAGATTGCCGTGAAATGGAATAGTAAATAAGAAGACGTTGAGCATGGATGCCTCTGCTTATACATACCCCACTCCGCTGCTGTGTTGCTGCTTTTCTTCTCCAAAGATCATCACACAGGGAGAAATATATTTTTTGGCTCTAAACATAAACAATAAATTATGTATCAGTCGTATCCTACCACACCAGTGACTGCACGTTTCATCCCATACAGTACCATTTACATGTACTTTACACCACAACCAGATATTTTACAAGCCAAGCTGATTTGTTTGATTTTTTTCGGTGTATTGTTTTTTCTCATCAAAAGTAAATAATAGACTGACTAAACTTATTTGAGTTGTAGAATCCATCACCCCAAACATTATGTCTGCATTATTTCTAGTTAAATCTGGTATGGTCCTTTAATTCATACTGCTATATTTATACTTTTATTAACAACACATTAGAGCTGAAATTAATAGTAGTAATTAGTGAAGTATTCTCACTTTACATCTTTAGCAGCTGAATAACTGAAAAAATAAACTGTACTACCTCCAAGTATTTGATTTGTTTTATTTAGCGTCCTGTAGCAACAAAACAGTGCTGAAGTGTGTAGTCCATAGCTAACTGAAGAACTCAGTGGAAACATTTCACTCCCTGTTTATGTTGCTCAAAGCATGCTGGGAACTGTAGTGCCAAAAACTCAAAACAGACATACACAAAAAATTGTACACATTGCAAACGATGCCTGCTTATTATGTTTAAGTGGTTGCATGTAGTTGTGAACAGCAGTCAATGATTCATATCCACAATGCTGCTGCAGCAGAGGTAGAGAGAGGTAGAGGTAGAGATGAATACCTGAAAGATTGTCAGCACTGAACGAATCAGCTGCAGACGACGTTTTGTTAATTGGATTCACAGTGAGGTATTTCTCCAAGCGGACATCAGTGCACAGAGGGCTACACTGATAACTCACGCTGATCAGTTAAATAGACTGTACAGGGCCTGTGGACGAGCGCTGTGACTCTTCTATGTGGAGCTGTGACCTTTATTTACTAAGTAAAAGTCGTCTGAGCACCAGTGTTTCCTGCAGGCTGCTGAGCGGCTGCTGCGCTGTCAAACTGGTCCCCGACAGTAGTTACTGTTCCTCAGCACATTACAGTGGCAGTCTGGGGATTTAAACCAAGTGACCTTCTAGTCCTAATGTGTCCCATTTGGAATATCTTCAGCTTGCACAACGTCCCTGTTCATTTATCACCTGCTCAGCTGGAAAACACAAAGATCCACTTCTGTCTGTTGTGGGAAAGCCCGACACAGCGATTCACAGCACAGCTTCTTTATGGTTACTGCTAACATTAGACCCTCCTGTTTTCTTTAAACCTCTGCATCAGTTGATTAGGTTAAACTAGAAAGCTGTGTACACTGTAGCTGCATTACATTAAGATAAATCACCCGTGGGCCACTGGTCAGGTTGTTCTCTCCAAAGACACCAGGGTAGAAAAACACAGCAGTAGTGTTTTTCTACCTGTAACTTTCAGCTGTGTCCACTCTGAAGCTTCCTTGTACCTGTCACACTGCTCTGCAGGTACAGTGGAGTAATGGTGCTGAGGCTGCAGCCCTCTCCTGTATACGAGACAGAATGCTGTCACATTAAACTGCATAAAAAAAGCACTGCTGTATCTGTCTGCCTCTCATGAAACTGTCTTTGCTCTGGCTCCACAGTTTCACTCTTATTTATTGCAGTAAAGTAGTAAATACATTCGGGCACTGTTGGTGAAAGCTAAAAGTGTTTTTAGCTGTGCAGTGAAGCAGTGTCCTCTTTGGACCTTTCTTCTGTTTGTATATGCGCATGATTTAAAATCAGTTCCACCAAAGGAGCATGGTCCTTCTCAGACTGATGAAAAGTTGTAACCTGTGTAGTAGAAACATATTTTCTTCTGTCCTTCCTTATTGATCACCTCACTGCTGAAGCACAGTGGGTCTTGCAAAGTGTTAGATGTGAAGTGCAACTAAGTCACTTTTTATTATCACAAATTTGTTTCAAGGGTCTTTACAGTCTGCACAGCGTATGACACCATCTGGCCTTAAACCCTCATATCAGATGAGGAAAATCTCCCCCAAAAATAAGAGTAAACAGATGTGAAATACTGTAGATGTCATTTGTACAGAATAAATCAGCATAGTAGATTTGCAGTATGGACAATTAGAATGACAAGAATTGTTTATTGTAACATAAATGAAGAACATGATCCTGGAGGATGAGCCAATGTCCAGGTGCCTCCAACAGGCCAGAGCCACACGGCCGTCCCTCCAGACATGGACCTGGTATTGGGACAGGCTAGACATCCACACGAGAAGCAAAACCCAGTCACATCATTCACACATACTGTATAGGGCAGGGAAACAAATACACACTAGAGAGAAAGAGAGAGGGGACAAAGGGAATGAACAAAATTAGTCTAATGTCAAAGGCTGTGGAATAATCCAAATGGGAAAACAATCATTTTCAGGTCGTGTGTTACAATAAATTTGGTTGTGGGCCTGATCTGTTCCCATAATGGCGCTTTAGTGTGACAGCTCTGTGTTAAACCCATGTAGAGAGAGACCAGTGATTGTGGTCACCAAGGGACAGATACTGTAACTGCAGTGCAACACCAGCCTCTGTGAATACCTCAGGAAAAGAACAGTCTCGGGGAAAGACAATTAGCAGGAACATTAGAAATGATGATGGTGGTGTAGAGTGAGGTGCTGCAGCACCGGTGAGGTTCATGAAACAGTAACAGGACTGAGCTCAGTAACAGCTTCCTGGTGTTTATGTCTGATTTATTCCACATTGTATGTGTAGAAAAGGGAAAATGCATCTTTGAATGGTTTTAGATTTAGACACAGTGTTTGAACTTTGAGCTTTGAGCTCAGCCCCAGCTGCTGATGCATTTAAATAATTAACCAGGGTCTAATCATCCCCCTCTGCTTCCTGTCAGGGAATCGCTGGCACAGATGTGGCAAAGGAGGCATCTGACATCATCCTGACTGATGACAACTTCACCAGCATTGTCAAAGCCGTCATGTGGGGGAGGAACGTGTACGACAGCATCTCCAAGTTCCTACAGTTCCAGCTGACCGTCAATGTGGTGGCCGTGATCGTGGCGTTCACCGGCGCCTGCATCACACAGGTAGGTCGCACACCGGATCTGAAGTCATTGTGCTCATCACAGCTGCATGACGATGGTTTTGTTTTAAATCTGGTAACAATAATGGACATAGTGTTTCTCTCATGAATCCACTGTTAGTCTCTGTTAAAATGGTAGCTGTGGCATTTTT